CTGGAGCTGCAGAACGAGACCCCTCATCTGTTGCCACCCTGGTTCCCTGCCCCGTCAGCAGTGATCTGACTGCCGCAGGGTAAGGTTAGAGGCAGGATGCAGATGCCCTCTCCCCTCCAGGGATGGGTGTATTGGTGGCAGGTGGGGGGCAGATGTGCCAGCATGTCAGCGTCCACACATGTGGGCAACATCTGTGAGCGGCCAATGTCACATGTCAGTGTCCTGTCAGGAGATGCTGAGACAGACGCTGAATATCTTTATGATACGTAGACTGGGGGGCAGACACGTCCCCGCTGGGTGCTGATCAGACTTCTTGCTTGCTGCTGCTTCACCTGAGCCTGTGCTTCGCATGCCTGCTTTGGCTCTTCTCAGAGCGATGCTGCACTGGCCCTTACAGGGCACTTGGGTCTAGTGGGGCTGTTTGCGGGGAAGTGGGATGTGAGTGTTTCAGTGGGGCTGGACACGCAGTGCAAGATGGGACCATCATCTTTGCTGTTGGGCCTGCAAAGTGCAGCACCTGCTGAGTTCAAAGAGTAAGGAATTGCTTGGGGAAGCACCGGGGTGACGGAGTGAAATGCAGGCCTTGTCTATAAACAGCAGTTGCCCTGATTTACCCAGGTTGGTTTCTAATCTGATTTCCATAGGCACGACTTGTCTGTAGGCAAGGCCAAGCCAGATAGAACTGAGGGTTTACGTCAGGAACAGCCTCCTAGGGCTGAGCTCTATCCACTGTGGTGCCCCCCCCCCCGGCCCCGTACTGATTGGCAGCCCCTCACTCACAGCTCTATGTATGGGACCTGTTTCCCACTGCCCTGAGGTGTGTGGAGTCGTTATGGTGAAACGTTGCTGTTCCATACAGTTCTTGGCCCCTAGACCTGGTGCCAGGTGGGGAGAATCGGACCCACAGTCATGAAGAGTCCCACCCTGGCAGAGTGAGCTGGACCATGCCCTCTCCACTGTCTGCCATCCCGGGACTCTGCAGGGTGGGCACGAATCGCTGCTGGATGGCTCAGAAGAGCTTCTCCGGGACAGACAGACAGGAACCGATGGCGCGGCTGATACAAGGCTGAAGGAGCAGCCACGGCTCTGCATGCGTTTCAGTTCCAGCCTCACCGGTCTTTAGGTGGGGCAGTTTCCTTTCTTGTGAATTCTATTCTTGTGACGGTTTCCATGCGCGCCCCCCGTGGAAAAGGAGCAGATTTTCCAGCAGACTGTCCCAGCTCCTCCGTCGGGGTCTCCGCGGGGTGAGGGGCTTTGAACACTGACATGGACAGAAAGGATCAGAGCTTTCCTAGCATTGCTGTACGGGGTCTAGGGTTGCCAATTTTGGTTGGACATATTCCTGGAGACTTGATCACATGACATAATCTTTAATTCCTGGAGACTCCAGGCCAATCCTGGAGGGTTAGCACCCTAACTGGGTCCAAGGCTCCTTCCACTGACGCCAAGTCTCAATCCCGGCAAAGTCCAGCCAAGTTACAAACCTCCGAAAACAAGGAGCAATCATGGAAATGTTGGCAGATCCTTAACCAGAGCAGGTGCTGCAGTAATCCTGATAGTGACCCCCTCCAGCACCCCAAACTACTGCAGTGGGGGGTGAGTCATGAGCCTTCTCTGGCTCTGCTGTCCAAAGAAGAGATCAAGCCAGCTGGGAAGCAGGCCACTCCTTTCCAGTCTAACTGCCAGCAAGTGGCCAGGGGTTCCACACAGCCAGGGCCCCATGAAGTGGTTTGCACTGCCTATGCCTAAAGTTAGCTCTGCCTCCAGTCGCAGGCTCTTGTCTCCTCATCCTGACGCATCTTGCAGAGAAGTTAGGCCAGAGGTCACTGGGGGAGTCGAGGGAGATGAAAACACTGAATCATCTACAACTGCAAAATAAATAAATAACATGAAAATCCCCCTCCTACAAAAAATAAACAGGAGCAATGTCTCCTGAGTCATGTTCCATGTCAGGCCATAAAAATGTAAAAGATAAAATTTGTAGCATCAAAATTTGACCCACGAAAGAGCCTTGTGTAGGAGGAACAGCCTTGGCAATGCTGTGTGTGTCTAGTAAAGACAACCCCAGGAAGGCATGTGCAGCGAGAAACAGCTTCTATCAGTCTAAACAACTGGGAATCCAAAATGCCTCTTTTTTGCAGGGTGAACCCTAAGCACCCAATCGTGCAACACAGCCCCCGGCCCCTCTTGGCAGTTTTTACAAGCCGATGGGACAGGCACCCGGTGTCTGACCAGCTGATGTAGGGACATATGTGCAACTTATGCACAGTCAAGATTTTGTGCAAGCCCAAATGTATGCGTGAAAAAGTGGGAGGTGGGGGGTGTAATGGTAGAGACAGGGCTGGGGGCCCTAGAAAATCTGACATCAGTGGCTTTTGTTTGGCATATTTGCTCTCCCAATGTGTAGCCAGATACCATAGGAATAGAACCCCATGGGGACCCATGTCTCAGCCCTTCTGTCAAGGCACTCAGTGACCTGGGGCCAGTGTCAATAAAAGAGCCTAAAGCGTCAAGATGTAGACAGTGCTGGCCAGTTTTTCTCCTCTGGTGCAGTGGGACTCATTACACTAAGAGTAAAACTCTTCTGTGCAGGAGACAGAGATTCCTTGGGGGCTGGCCCAACGCAGTGGAATGAACTCCCCAGGAACTAAGGACCTTTCCCACGTGTCTCGCTGGTAGGTCTCAACCGCATGCTCAGGGTCTAGTTGATCATCATATTTGGGTTGGGAAGAGAGTAAATGGGGGATTCTCTGTAACTTGGAAATCTTTAAATCAAGATTTGAGGCCTTCAGAAACTGAGCCAGAGGTTCTGGGCCTGTTGCCAGAGTGCGTGGGTGAGGTGCTGTGATGTGCAGGAGGTCAGACTAGGTGATCAGGATGGTTCCTTCTTACCTTAAAGTCTATGAGCCCATCCCAAATTTCACCCCCTTCTACCTCAAGTACAAGGCACATGGTTTTGACCTGCCTTCTCTCACATAAACAGACATACATAGGTGCACCTACCCTGGGCCCAGGTCAGATATACGTGTAGACATTAAAAAAAAGAAGAAATAAATCCAAAACACGATGCCCCATGTCACACACTTCTGACCCTGGCCACAGGACAGACATGACAACACAGATTAATGTGCTCCTGCCAGGTGCTCAGATGCTATGGTGATGAATGTCATATAAAAACCTACAGAAGCTAGACTATTGTTTAGCTGCAAATAAAATACAGCTCTAACAAATAACAGGATAAAAAGGACGGTGGTCTTTGAATAATGCACTAGCCTGGGAGTCAGGAGACGTGAGTTGTGTTCCTGGCCCTGCCAATTCTGAACAAGTCCCTTAATGGCTCTGTGCCTCAGTTTCCCCATCGGTCAAGCAGGACTAATGGTCTCTGCTTCCTATCCTGTCATCAGACTGAACAGAGGGGTGGCTGGAAAGTGCTGTGAACACCGGTGACCGAAGTGCAGGGAACCAACCCAGGCGGGCTCCTGACCCCTTCCTCCATTTTGCATATGTACCGAAATATTGATTTACTTGTATTAGCGAACAAGCCCTCCCCGCCCCCCATCCAAGCCGGAGGAGGGGCTGCCGGGGCCAGCGCCATGAGCTCGTGGAAGGCCTGGGGAGGGCGAGGGCAGGAGCCCCCCCGCCCCACGCTGGTGGAGGGGGATGCACGGGGCGGGGGGGGAGGCGGTGCGAGGGGGAGGGGGCGGTAATCTCCTCTCCCGGCCTGCCAGGTGATCAATGACCGTCGGGCCGGGGCCGCTCTCAGGCTCTGCCCCGGCGGCAGGTGACGGGCGGGGGTGGGGGGGGGGCGGCGGCGGCTCGCGGCTTGTGGTCTCCATGGGCACCGCCCGCGAGGCGCCAGGCTGACAGCCCTCAGGGTTTTATGAATGGGTGACATCACAGCCCTGGCGTCTAACGGTCTGAGCAGCGTGTTGAGACACAGAACCAGGCTGCGGAGGGGGGCGGCGGCTGGGGCTGTGGGAACGGGGGAGACGCGGGGAAGATCGGCGCTGGGCGGGCTGCAAAGCGCCGCGGCCGGGGGAGACACGAAGCGGGGGCGAGGGTTTGCAAACAGTCCCCGCAAGGCGAGCGCGGGAGGTGGGCGCTGCACGAGCTCCGGCGCGCTGGGGAACCCCGCACCCGCCGAGCTCCCCGGGGCCCGCGGCGGGCGCTTCGTCTGCCCCTCCCGCCGGCTTTCACACAAGCCCCGCGTTTGCTTCCGCGCCCCGGCCGCGCCAGAAGCAAACGCCCCGGCCGCCCCAGGGCGCCGGGCGATGGCCAGGAACCACACCTGAGCGCGGGGAGGAGGCGAGCTCGCAATGCCGGGGCCAGGTGTGAGTCTCCGCGTGGCCCCGCGACACACCTGAGGGGTGCAGCAAAGCCCTGGGCATGGCCTAGTTTCATACGCGCTGCGCGCCCAATCAGCGAATCGCTCATTAACGACCGCTCGCTCCCCAGCAGAGCTGCACCCATCTCCCTGGCCGGAGGGTCACCAGCTGGGCCCCTGGTCTGACTCGGTCCGGCCTTCCTTATGCTGCAGACTGTGCCCCCCCGCCAGCCCCGCAGTGTGGTCCGCCTGTTGCATGCGGGGTGGAGGTGGGGGGGGGTGCTGCTCTCTGCCCCCCGGGTAGATCCTCTTGGGCAGCTGGACTTGTCGGCGCGGGGGAGGGGGCTCTGCCCACAAGTTGGGGGGCGGTGTCGGAAGAGTCATTAAAAAGCTATTCCAAGTGCCTGTCACATTCCTTTAATCCTCCCCCTTTCCCGGCCAAATGCCCTGGAGCGGCCTCCACCTGCACGCCGCCCCCCTCCCCGCGCGCGTGAAACGCTCCCGCCCCAACCCCATTTGTCTCGCCGCGTCACTGTCCCTTTAAAGCGGCCTCCGAGCGCGCTGCACGGAGACGGGCGGCAGGGGGCGGGGCGGGGCTGCGAACCACGCCCCCTCCAGGAGGGCCTCTCGGATTGGCTGCTTGGGCAGGGAGCTGGCTCCGCCCTCCCAGGGCCCTGCCGTCTATAAGTTGCCGGCGCGGCCCGCTGCGGGCCAGTGCTCCTCGCAGGGTCCTGCCGCCGCCGGGTTCCCCTCCCGCTTCCCAGCCCAGCATGAAGGTCGCCAGCGCCGCCGCCGCCGCCTCCCCCGGGCCCAGCTGCGCCCTGAAGCGGGTGCGGCTGGGCGGGGGCGCGGGCGAGGCCGTGCGCTGCCTGTCGGAGCAGAGCGTGTCGCTGTCGCGGGCCGCCGGCGGCTCCCCGCGGGGGCTGCCGCTGCTGGAGCAGGCGGAGCAGGCGGCGGCCGCGGCCTCGCTGCTCTACGACATGAAGGGCTGCTACTCGCGGCTGCAGGCGCTGGTGCCCACCCTGCCCCGCCACCGCCGCGTCTCCAAGGTGGAGATCCTGCAGCACGTCATCGACTACATCTGGGACCTGCAGCTGGAGCTGCAGCACCCGCCGGCCCGCGGCCAGCCCCTGGGGGGCGGCCCCGACGGGGAGCCCGGCGGCGCCGCCGAGGTGAGGCGGCTGGGACCCCCTCCTGCTGCGGGGCCCCTCTCCCCCTTCCTGCTCCTCTGCCTGCTCCCGTCTGCCCTCTCCTGCCGTCTGACCGGGGCTTTTCCGTGCCCCCGGCCCCGCCACCCGTGCTGGGCTCCGGGGCCTCCTACTTGCCTCTCCTCCCCCCCCCCCCCCCCCCGTGCCCTGCCTCTCCTTCCCCCCCCCCGCCCGCCCCCGGGTGCCCTGCCTCTCCTTCCCCCCCCCCCCCGCCCCCCCCTCCCCCCCCCCCCCCCCCCCCCCGGGTGCCCTCCTCTCCTTCCCCCCCCCCCCCCCCCCCGGGTGCCCTGCCTCCCTTCCCCCCCCCCCCCCGGGGCCCTGCCCCCTTCCCCCCCCCCCCGCCCCCGGCCCTCCTCTCCTTCCCCCCCCCGCCCCCCCCCCCCCCTGCCCTGCCTCTCCTTCCCCCCCCGCCCGCCCCCGGGTGCCCTGCCTCTCCTTCCCCCCCCCCCCCCGCCCGCCCCCGGGTGCCCTGCCTCTCCTTCCCCCCCCCGCCCCCCCCGGGTGCCCTGCCTCTCCTTCCCCCCCCCCCCGCCCCCGGGTGCCCTGCCTCTCCTTCCCCCCCCCCCCCCGCCCCCCCCCGGGTGCCCTCCTCTCCTTCCCCCCCCCCCCCGCCCCCGGGTGCCCTGCCTCTCCTTCCCCCCCCCCCCCGCCCCCGGGTGCCCTGCCTCTCTGTGTCTGGCCATGCCATTCTTTCCCGTTTGAGTGGCCTGACCAGCCTGCTGTGGGCTTCCCCAGAGCCGTGCTTGGGCACGGAGCTGCCCTACTTTGGTGGTATGGGTTCCCTTGATCTGGCTCCCGGGGGGGGCTCCCTGTGCAGCTAGCCCCTCAAGCCTCCTAACCCAGGAAAGGCTAATAAGGGTGAGGAGAAGGCTTGGGAAGCGTCTCTGTATCTAGAAGGCTGTGACTGTAAAATGCCTTGCTTGGCCTGGTCTGGTTGTAGGAGGATTGGAGTGACCCCCAGTTGCCATCCCTGTGGGTCAGGCTAGGTCCCTATGCAGCATTAAGGTGTTAGCCAATGTGGCTTTTTTCCGAAGGCATGAGATGGAGAGGAGGGAAGCCTGCCATCAGTTGCTGCCCTGTGACCTGGAGACTGAGCAGGACCATGGCCCCACTTGTGATTTACCCTTTGCTTTCCTCTCTGCTCCAGCAGGCTGCCTGTGTGAGTGCCGGCGACAGGATCCTCTGCCACTGAGAGCCTGCCTGGGAGCATGGCGCACTCCTAGGGCTGAAGAGCAGCAGCTCTCTCCTGTCCCCCATAAGGGGGAGGTCTGGCCGATGTCCCCCCCCCCCCCACTCCCTAGCTCCACAGGAGTAGTCTGAAGGGAGAGCTGTGGCAAGCCTCTTGAAGGAGATGAGGATGCGGAGTCTGCGCTGAGCCTTCCTGTTCGCCTGCGAGTGGGGCCTTCTGGGATCCTGGAAGGAGGAACAGGAACCAGGACTGGGGCTCTTTGCAACAGCCCTGGCTCTACACCTGCTGCTGCGACATCAGAGGCTCTTGAGACTTTTCTGTATGGGAGACTCTTAACTTTATAAAAAAACAACCTAAACCTGTATCCTTCTCAGATTGCTGAGAATATTCCCTGTATTGTATATTACAATGATGCTACCAAGAATATTGTTCTACAATAGTTGGAGTTTTTGTTATTAAACAAATGCTGATTGTTTATGGAGAACTGTCTCCTTTTGTCGTTCCTGTGCCCTGGCTCCCCTGTGCCCCTGCCAGTCAATGGGGCCCTTCTAAACATGGCTTTAAATGGTGCTTTGCTGGACTTGGCTCTGTGACCAGAACTAGTAAATTGTAGGGCAGGGGGTGCAAACTGGTTAGTTAATGAATTACTTCATAAAGGCCATGCCTGCATTTGTGTTAGCCTTGGCTTACAGTCCAATCCGAAAGCCTGAGCAACTACAGCCTGGGTTAGTCTGGTCATGAAAGTCCAGCTGTGGTGGAGTGAAATTCTGGACACTCGGGCAGTGTAATTATGCTGGCGAGGGTTGACTAGAGTGCCATGAACAAATATGTTGCCTACATCAAGTGCTGATGTCTATCCTGTAATGACCTGTTGGGCCAGTAGCAATCTTCTGGGTCATTGCCTGTGGGAGTGTGGCCTGGCTCCCTGGCAAAAGCGGTGACTCAGCCAGTTTGGGTGACTGTTCCAGCTGGGTTGGACAGAACTCACTTTATACTTTATCAGAGGTATAAGCATGTCTATTTTAACCGATTGGCTTAAAGTTTCACAATTTTGGGAAATGGGACGGGGGACACCAGAGGTGTTAACTAGAATGACAGCTTTTTGAATCTCAACAGCTAACAGGTCATAACTTTAAAACCACCCTCTCTGAAGTAAACAGCCTTAAATCAACCAGGAGTTCACACATTTGCCACTTATAAATTCTGATTATTAATGGAAATATCCTGTGTATGCATAGTGACATTTACCAATGAAATTGAAGCCTGTTTACAGCCTATCATGGGGCGGGGGGAGAGAACACTTTAGTCCATCTATTCGCTGTCCTTCCTCTTTGGCAGTTTAGCTGAAGCTTTGTAATCTCCTGTATCCAAGCTTGTGTCTGTGTTAACTGATAACCTGCCCCCTTCCAGTATCTACTAGGTTTAAATGGGAGTCTAGGATGCACCAGGGCTAATGTACACAAATTAAATCCCCTAACAGCCACACATCCATTGTATTCTGCAGAATACAAATCCTCCCCTCCCTCAAAACTGTCATAAACGTCTCCCACCCTGCTTCTATTGGGTTTTAGGGTTTTTAACCATTAAACCATACCTCCACTTCCCCCCCCACCCCCGCAATTTAAAGGAAAGCAGAGGTGCCAACCCTTCTGCCCAGTGCAGGTGCTGGGAGCCCTGGGGAGGGGAGCTAGCCCCTGTGCTTGGGGTGCTGGCTTGGCTCTGGGTGGGGGGTAAAAGTTTTGCTTTGAGGTTTCTGCCATTTAACAGGGACTCACACACTCACTCGTAGAGGAGCCCGGTGTTCTCAGTGCTGCTCCCTCTTCTGAGTTGCTCTGTTCTTCTTTCCCTTTTGGCTCGCTCCCAGCCCATCTGGAGCCTGGCTCAGCCTGCCTGTTTGTTAATGTTTCAATCAGCTGTGTGCTAAGGAATGTGCAGTTATTTAACCTGAACTTCCCCAGGTGTACACAGGCGCCTCTCTGTCTGAGGCTGCAGGCCCTTCCCAGGCAGGCGGCCTGCCTTTGGCACAGATCTATTAGACAAACACTCAGCCCCCCTCCCTAGCACACACGGCTGCCTTGTGGAGCTAACGTCCCACCCCCACAGCTGCATCTCAGCCCTGGGAACAGAGCAACATTGCACAAGAGACCCAGGGAGGGAGACACAGAGAGACGTTACACACAAAACTCCCTCTTTTCAACTGCTGCTTGGAAAGTAAATAGCTTAACCACTTACCAGCCATACCGAGCTGAGAACATACAGAGCAGCTCCGCTTAGCCTGGGCTGGTTCTTACCTGCTTTAGCATGTTAGTTAGAAAACTTCCATGACCCATTGAATTGGGGGTCCCAGCAGGAAAGAATCTGATCTCATACTTCTTTTTCTACAGTGATTTGTCTTCCTGGGTGTATGATCTGGCCTGTAGGTCTGTGAGAATTGTGATGCTGGCATGTATGGGACTACAAAAGGAGGGCCCTCAGGCATAGGGTACAGTAACTAGCCAAGAGCCAGAACCAAGGAGGTGACAGCTAAGTGTGAAGCAGGTAGATCAAGAGGTGAGGGCATAGGGCTGTGAGGCAGGACACCTGAGTTCTGTTGCGAGTTCTGTCACTGATTTCTGGTGTGACTGGGGAAGTAACATCACCTCCTCTGTTTCTCTAGCTAGAAAGTAGGAACAATGATCTGACCAGCCACCCACTGGTGGTACAAGACAGAATGTCTTGCTCTTTGTGAGGTGCTTTGAGATCCTTGGAGGGGAGTCACTAGACAAGTGTGGGTGTATGGTTAGAAGGTTGCAGGCTACTTGTGTGGTGGCACTGGCCTGGGGAGGTCTGGGTCTTGTGCAGACTCCCTGTGTGATTTTGGGCAAGTCACTTAATCCCTCTGTGCCCAAGTTCCCCCGTTGCTGATTGTGTATTGTCCTTTCTCCCATCCTCTGGCTGCCTGTTTCCACAGTCTGCTCTTTGGGGCAGGGACTGTCACCTAGCACAAGGAGGCTCTGATCTCAGCTTGAAGCACGAGTGTAAAACAAGTTGTTTCCTCTGCAGGCTGGAGCCCTCTCGGCCACTTTGAAGCGCTCTAAGAATAGCATGCTCCCAGGGAGGAAGGTGGGTGGCTGAATGGGACTGTGCAGCCAAGGGCCAGGGACAGAAGCGCAATAGCCCCCACCCTTGGCTCCCAGGGGCCCAGAAAAGGGCAATGAGTTTTCTTTTCATCCAAATCGCCCCAGCTCAGAAGCAGCATCTGGTCTGCAATGAGGTCGAGGCCTTACCCAGTTTTCCAGCTGGGTTGACTGAAGCACAAGGCGGTTAAAAGTGACTTGTTCGAGGTCATCCCTTGAGTCAGCGGTTCAGCCCCGTTTGGAAGGCAGGCTCCTCGCCTTTGCTGTGACCGCAGAGCTGAAGGGGGAGTTGCTTGGCCTCTTTGCTGAAGCAGGAGGAGCTTGTGAAGGGCCAATCCAGCAGTGACCTCGCAGGGGCGAGGGAATGAGGGATGCAGGGTGCTGCTCTCTCTTTGGAAACGCCAGGCCTGCCTGCATTTCCAGTGCATGTTGTTGCAAAACCTCATAAGCAGAGTTGTAAATAGACAGGCTCAGAAGGAGGAAATTGCATCAGAAGGGTTTTTGCAATTCCAGCCCCAGCTGCAGGGATGCCTTAAAGGGCACTAGACAGGCAAAGGGCACCACAGCCCTGACTGGTGCTGGCCTCTTGTATCCGGCGGGGCTGACTCACCCCACCCAAGCCTTCCGGGGCACCAGAGGCCCCAGCAGGGTTGATTTACTCACTGAGCATTAGCATGGAACGGACTTTCCTCGGGGTCCGTGTGACGTTCCGAACCGAGGAGGTGTAACCAAGGAGGCCTCGTGGGCAGCTGGATCTAGGGAGAACCTGACCCCCATGGCTTCAGTGCAGGAGAGAGCCATGGCCCATCACCTCCATGTGCAAGGATACTGTACTCAGTGCACATGGGTATAGGAGAGAGCCTTTGACTCCATTGGATGGGGGAGACCCTATTCCCTGGGCGCACATGTATGGACCGATCCCTGTGCCCAGGTGTCAGTGTGCAGGCAAGTCGCTGTTCCCAGGTCCGGGGTGGCTCCTGTGACTGTGTCCTTTTCCCTGGTGTGTGTGAAGGAGGGCATGCTCCCCCCACCCATCCCATTCATTCCTGTGAGGAGTTTGCCCTGGAAGCCCCTTCTCCACTCTGGGGTTGGCTTAATTCAAGAGCCCTGGAGAGCTGGGTGGACTCCCTCGCCCCCCCTCCTCAGCCAAACAGAAGGGAGAACGTCCCAGCAGTGTGACTGTCTCTTCTGAGCTTCCAGGAACGGCCTGACTTGCAGGCGGCCTCCTGGGCTCTAAGCTAGCTGCTGCAGTGTGTCGGTATTCAGTGCCATGGTGTGAGCCGGGGGTTGTGCTGGATTTGTAGGGCCGTGCCTGGGGTGGCTGGTCAGGAGGGAAAGCGCAATCCAAGGGGCCCCTGAAGCTCTGCCAAGCTCCTGCACAAGTCAGGGAAGAATAGGAGGGTTAGTGCCATTCCCCTTAGCTACACCCCCGTGGCGTATGGGGCCTCGCCTGGCATTCCAGCGGGTGCTGCTCGGGGGGGGGTGGTTGGCGCACTGCGCAGACAGGTGCCCCGGAGCATGGATCCTGTGGCTGGAAGTTGGCAGTGCTAGTGACTGTGAGTGGGGCCTGGGCTGACTCCGAGCACCGGCTGCTAACCTGGCCCGTCAGAGCCACACCCCCCAGAAGACCTCCCCATTCAGCCACTCACAGACCATCCAGCTGGCCATGAGGTGGGACATAGTGTCCCCCTCCCCAAGTTAGCTGCATGGAATATGAATCATCAGCACTTCCCTGGTGGAGCCTGCCCTGGTTAACCCTTCATCCGCAGGGCAGGCTCAGGACCTTGGCCACAGGGAGCCGGGACAGTCGTTTGACTGGAATCCCCTGCAGGTTGCCACTTCATTGGCCAGCTACTGCCTCTTGTAGCAGTGATGGATTGAACAGCCCTAGCTCCTTTAGGGGGTGTGCGTGAGAGAAACGATGGGGTAGGTCTTAAGGATTTAGAGATCCTCCTGGCCCCCCTTTCTCTGCGTGGTTCTTAGCTCCTGTCCTTGCTGCTCCATGGCCCAGCTGGCATACCAGGAATTCAGGGGGAGAATTTGCCATTGGGATGGTGTTAGTCTCTCCTGATTAAGAAAGCTGCAGGGGGGGATGAGTGGTCAATTACATGGAAAAAAAAAAAGGCAAACACACCCATGTCTCAAGTCTGCTAAGGCCCTGTCTATGCTGGAGATACATTTTGCACCAACGGAACGACCCCAGCACAACTGCCAAGTGTGGGTGTGCTGCAGGTGTGTAAGAGTGGGAAGTTACCAGGGTAAGTGACACCAGGCCCAGCCCTGTTTTGTACTGATGCAGTGTGTCTGCATTAGGGGTTGGCCCCAGTGTCACTCCATCAGTGCTGACCCCATGCCAATTTCCCTGCTC